AAGAGTACAGAACTCTGGCCTAGTGGTAAGATGTTACGCTGCAATCCCAAAGGCATATGGTTCAAATCCACCAGCTTCTCCACAGAAGGATGGGCATTCTCCTCCTGTGCAATTAACTACCTCTGAAAACCTGCTGGAGAGTCAGTTAGGGACTGACGCCAACTCAACAGCATACAGTAACAATGACAACAGAACTCCAGAGAGTTTCTGGGGAGAAGGATAACATAGCCCAGGGCTGTCTTATTCTCTACACCAAGAAAGGACTCCTGACTGGACTGAACCTATGCTCTATGAAAACTACCAGCCCCTTCCAGTTGCTCTGCTGATCGAAGAGTTAGAAGTTTTCATGCCTTGTACTTGGATCCTATCTTTCCCAGTACTCACAAGCCAGGTTTGAGTCCCCTTTAGGGTGTCACTCTCCTCTTCTACTTCACTGTGTCCCTTTGAAGGGTTGAATGCACTACTGGGGCAGTGGGAATCTCTGATTAGTACCTAGAGACCATAAGTGAAAGTCTGAAAGAGAACCATGTTATTCTCCCTCTGTCCAATCTGTAGGTATAAACTACATGTGATTATAGATGAGATTTACATGCTGTCTGTGTTCGATCCAAAGACCACATTCCACAGTGTGCTGAGCTTGGACAGGTGAGTGGATCTCAGCTGAGAATGGGAGAGAAAGCCCTGACGTGTTTGGTTTACATGGTCAGTTGTTTATGTCAAAAAAGTAATAGGATGTGTTCAGTATTGAATTAAGTAGCAAGGGGAGTGAAAATGAACAGAACAATTTTTTATTTTAAGTGTCTTTTAGCCTAAATAAAGGATACCGGGAAGCACAATAGAGTAGACTGTCAAAAGTCAAGAAAAGGCCCACAGAAGACCAAGATAGGAAGTTCTTGGTAAGCAGAGGGAAATAGTAGAAATTGGTTAGGGCTTCCTTGGCATATATTTTTTTTAAGCATTTGGATAGGAGTCCGGCAAGAAAAAGACACATGCCAGGCAGAAGGAATAGCTGCTTGAAAGGTAGAGACCGTAAACAGTGAGCACATTCTAGGAACGGTGGATGTCCATGTGTCACTAGACAAATGCCAGGCAAGGTGGCTTGTGACCTGGGTGTAACAGAGTCACGGTCTGAGCTGGGGCTTCTGCACTTCATCCAGTGGGCCCTTAGAAACCGTTCCACCTTGTCACCAAGCGGTGCCTTATGTTGACTTTATTTCCTTAACTAGGGGAATCCTGGGCCCTGTGGGTAACCTCAAGTCTTTTTCTCCTTTCCTTTCATCTATCTTGAGTCTCTGCCCTAAGTATTAGTCTATAACCTTGATTCATACTCTTCTCCAGTTTGCCTGACCCCCAAAGGACGCATGTGATCTGGGGTACCAGTAAGGTAAGTCCCAGCTATTTATTGGTCCCTGGGTGGGGAAGAAAGGAGTAGAAACAGAAGGCAGATGGACTAGATGTTTTCTCTCATAATAATCTTACAGGATTTTGGCATCTCTGGCTTCCGCTTTGGTGCTCTATACACCCACAACAAGGACGTGGCTGCTGCTGTGCGTGGCTTTAGCTACCTCCACAGCCTCTCTGGCATTGCTCAGTATAAGCTGTGTCAGCTGCTCAAAGATAGAGGTACTGTGCCCTGTCCCACGCTAGCATGTTGACTCTAGGGAGTTGGTGTGTCTGCTTTGACCTCCCTTATACTCTGACCAAGAATCTGCTTATAGTCTCAGGGTTAGCCTTGGAAGGACATGAAGATGGAGGGTAGGATGCCACTCAGTGTGTTAAGGAGGTGAAAATATTTGTGTAAGACACAATATAAGCTTGAACTTAGCCATACTCTGCCTGGTAAGGGAATAGTCAAGTCCTCTAAGATCTAAAGATAGGAAGCTGATAAATTAAGTCTTTATGTGAATATTTCACCATTTTCCCCACCCTCCATCCCCCTAAATCTTCTGCTTGCTTCAAGATTCCAAAGAAACTTCCCATATCCATCATGCAGCTTAACCCCATCCTCCCAAGGGGAGCTGCCATCTGGGGGAATTGACGGGGATAGGGTTTCGAACATAGCTTCGCTTTCCCCCTTGAATCTCAAGTGAATGCTGACCTGTCTAGATTGTTCAGAATCCATGGTGTGAGGCACAAAGGCGAGAGAGGACCTGCCACTCCCCAGGAGCAGCGACACTTTTAGGGGATACCCTTCGACACAACTTCTTTGCCTCTAGGGTATTATTGAACTCTTGTGAAGCTCAGGGTCTCTAGTTGAGCCATAGACAAGAGGTGTGTTGGATAGAGACTCCTTCAAACACCAGTGTGACAGAACTTGGAGGGTGGCCGTATGGGTAAGATGTTGAGCTGCCAACCCAAATGGATCAAATTCACCAGCTGCTCCACAAGAAAAAGATGGGCAATCTCCTTCCACGCAACTAAGAGCCCTTGAAAATCAGCTAGAGGGTCAGCAGGGAATCTGTTCTGTCCTAACAGCAATAAGTTAGTTGGTTGGGTAACGAGCCGGCATGAAGGCAAGGAAGGGAGCATTTGATAAAAAGCCCTCCAGCACATGTTTGACACGAGACCTATGATTTCCCCTCTCCTAACCAGTCTGGATTGACAACACCTACCTGCCTTCCTATAAACTACGGCTCCAGAGAGCTTACCGTTGTGTCACAAAGCAGCTAGACGCCTTGGAGATCCCCTATCTAAAGGGAGGCTGCGGCCTCTATGTCTGGATCAACTTGAAAAAGGTGAGGACTGGGGATGAGGACTGGTATTCTGAAGCAGGCCTGGCAAACAGACCCTGGGCTAAGCTGTCTCTCCTCTCTCTAGTACCTGACCCCATGTACATTCGAGAAAGAGTTAGACCTCTATCGCCACTTGATGAATTACAAAGTGATATTGACCCGTGGCAAGATATACATGTGTAAGGAGCCTGGCTGGTTCCGCCTCGTCTTTGCCGAGAAGACTCACATCCTACTATTGGGTGAGTAATAATGATTTCCCTGTCCATCTCGTCAAAGATGCTTCATCAAATCCTAGAATCCAACTCTGGACTAACAGCCGAGGGCTCATCTTTTGTACCGCCTGTTTCCATCTTTAGATCCTTGATTAAATGCTCTTGTAAACAACAGCACACGACAAATCTTAAGATATATCCCAATTTATCCATTACCCCTTTAGGGTAATGATACTGAACTATGTGTTGAGGCTTTGGGTAATCTCTGCCCTTAGGAGCAGTGAGTGGATAGATGGAGTACTGCTCCAGTGTGTTATGCTGTAGAGTGGAGGTTATATACAGATTTTAGAGACCATTTTTAGTATTCTTTAGAGTATTTATTGCTTCATAATGAATACTAGGCACTGGTACTCTTCCTAGTGGGTAGGAATGCAGCAGTTCTGTGGACAAGGTTAATGTGGGCTTTGTTTCAGCAATGTGTTTGGCTAGTGTGGTGTATAAACTGAGTGAAGGGACACTACCCTACCCACTTGTAATCGAGGGAATTCTGAATGACAGCCTCCTTACTTCAAAACAGACCAATGGTAGCATAGGGCATAATAGGTTGGGCTGCTAACTGAAAGGGTGGTAGTTCAAATCCCCTAGTGCTGGGAGAAAGAGGAGTCATTTCTTTCTAGTGAAGACTTAAAGCCTCCAATCAGATGGAAGATTGCTATGAGCCAGACTTGACATATTGGCAGTGGGTTTGGTTTTGAGTTACAGGACAATGGACCTGCCCCGCCCCCTTCAGTGGAGTTTACCAGGCTGTGAGCCTTGACAGAGGCAGACCGCTAACTCTTCCAGAGAGGCTGAGTTCAAACCACCAACCTCCTGGTTATCAGCGAAGTGCTTAACCACTGAACCGCAAGGGCTCATCTTGAAGAGCCACCCAGTGACTGCCATTGAGTTCTGACTCCTACCAACCTTGCATTGGGTTTCTGAGGCTGTAAATCTGAATGGGAGGAAGCTGCTCGTGTTCCTCAGACACTAAGGGATTTGGTTAACAGTGCAGAACACTGTAGATGACACTCTCAGAGCACAGGAAACTTGAGGCCCGGGCCACAAGCCAAAGAGGAAGATTTGCTATGAGATGTCAGAGCATCAAGCAGGCGTCTTTGGCATGGAGAAACATTAAGATCCATTGCAGGCCTGAGAGGTAGACCTTCACTTAGATTCGTGTGACAGTTAACAGACTGGCTTTTCATTTGAGCACTCATGTTTTTGTTAGGTTATTGGTATTGGAGTTAATGTTGTCATACTTTTCTCACTTCTCCCTCTAATTCTCATTTCCATTATGTCCAGCTTTAACTATTTGCTCTCTGAGCTTTATCTTGATACAAATACTGCTTTTGACCCTATATGGCCTGTTCTAAGGAGTGAGTGCCTCCCTGGCTTTCATGGTCACTTTGCAGGCTTGTCTATTGTGACTCAGAGTTGAGTCAGATTAGTTTTCATCCAGCTTTGAAGGGTAATTACAGGCTGTGTCCCAGGGGTTCCATCAATCTGCTAGGACAGACTTCTGGCCTTAGGTGTTTTAGTTCTGTTCATATTTTCCTTTGATCTGTCTAGTATCTTCTGTGGTCTCTCTTTTGAATGATCAGCAGTGGTGATTGGGCACCATCTAGCTCTATTGATCTCAGGTAGACTTTAAAATAGAAACTTCAAAGGGAGGAGGGCTAAAGTTCAGCATGGGAAGAACAATCATCGAATTGAAAAGCTCTGTGATCTACCAAGACTTGGGCTTGTCTGGGGCTGACCCACCAACTTACTCAGAATTTCTGTCCCTATTTGAATCCTCTAGCCATGCAGAGGTTTTCTGAAGCACTGAAAGAATATGAGCAAATAGCGGCAGTGGAGTTCCTGGAAGATGCCTACAGGAGTGGATGACTTCTGCTCCATCAGCTAGACATGCTCTAAGATGAGGCTGACAACTCAGAATTGCTCTGTAAATGAAGAGCATGGTCTTCTCCAAGAACAATGTCATCTAACCTAGCTATGGACCACTCTGAACTGAGCTAACCACTTGTTGCCTTTGGAAACATGGTATCTTTTTAGCAAACCAATGTGTATGGGTCAAATAGGTGTTTTTACTGAGTTTGGGAAAGTCTAGGGGGTGCCTGGAAGAAGATAAAGGGAGTGCCCTGGGATCTTTTTAAAATGGTTTTTATTTTAATTCCATGTCTAATAAAGTAAACATTCTCTTAAATACTGGGTCTGGTTTTTTATTCAGTCCTTGTAATGTTTGAGGTAGATGGGCTTCTAGCTTTAAATACTAGAGTAGTTTCAATGTGAAGAATACTAAAAAGACCAGCTCAGAAAGGAAGAGAAGGCAGTAATCCTAGATTGGTAGAACACCTAAGTGTTGGATTCTCTTCACTCTCGTTACATGTTATAACACTGAGTCGCCGGTGACTCACAGTGACCCTATGCGAAATGGCTCTGAACCGTGTCCTATCCTGAGCCAATCTCATTGTCTCCAACACACGTGCCCCCATTATCCTAGTCACTGTATTGATCCATCTCATCCGGTGTCTTCTTTTTGTGCTGACCCTCTACACTTCCAAGCATGATGTCTTTCTCCAAGGACTGGTCCCTCCCTGCAACATGCCCAAAGTATGTGAGGCAGAGCTTCAAAATCCTTGCCTCCCAAAAGCAAGCTGGTTTCACCCTCTCCAGAACAACAGTCCATAGAATGCTCAACATTCTTATCCAGGGCCACAACTCAAAGGCCTCAATCCCTCCGTCATCCTTAGTCATTGTCCAGCTCTCTGATGCATTGCTGCTGCATAGCAAGTAATTGTGAAGACCATGGTCTGGATCAGGTGCACCTTAGTCTCCATACTAACAGTGTCCTTCTGTGCTCTGGAGAGGTCCCTAACAGCAGATAGGATCCTCATAAGCTCATACCCATCTTACAAACACATAGCTAAAAAGCAGGGTGGATGTATTGTGTGTAGTCAGTGAATTTCTGCTTGGTGACTTGAAAACAAATCTTGGACTCATTGTCGTAGAGTCTGAACAAACTCATAGCAGACCCTCCACTGGGATTCCAAGGCTGTAAATTGGACAGGAGCTGGATTATCTTTCTCTCATGAGGTTGTTGGTGGACTTGAACCTCTAGAAAGGTGCTGCCTTGGCATTAGTAGCAAAACTCCCTACAGACTAGGCTACCAGGGGTCCCTGACAGAAGCAGTGCTTCATAGTCGTCTATGCTGAAATCTTCATGGGAACAGATCATCACTTCTCCCTTGTATGGACTTGCTATTGTGTTTGCACCACCGACCTTCTGGCCACCAACGGACTTTTTAACCAGTGTTAGCATGGCTCAGTCCCAAGTATTTCTATTTCAATGTTATCATCCTCTTCACTCCTTTCTACCTTTCTGGGTCGGAGGGTTTGTCAATCTCTGACAAGCAGTATGTCTTGTGCACTCCACATGGTTAACACCTGATAGTGTATCTTTTATATCTAGAGATTGAGTAGGTTTTTATCCTAATTTTAATATGTATTCATTGATTACTAAAGCTATAAGCTCATTTTTTAAATTTATCTGATAGCTTTTTGCCAGTGACAACATTTTCTATCAAAACTGTCATAAGATAGGGAGCTCTGGTGGCCTAGTAGCAAGAAGCTAAGCTGCAATGCCAAAAGTGGTTCAAATCCACCAGCTGCTCTGCTGGAGAAGGAGAGGCAATCTCCTCCTGTGCCAGTTGGATCCGAGTCAATGGTACATGAAAAAAAAAAATAGTGGGTTTGTGAAAAAGACTTAATGACACAGGTTGTCACTATTAGTGGAATAAAAATTGTGACCGTTTTTTAAAATATTTTAATTTATTTTTCATTTCAGTGAACATCTACAGAGATTTTGGAATTCCATTCATTCATTGTTGCACCTTTCTCCCCGCCCATCCCCCCACCCTGTTTGCTCCTCTCCTTGAAAAGCAAAAGAAAAACTCCCTCATTAGTACACAATCCTCCCCCGCACCTCCCCCAATCCCACCCCCAACCCCAAATATAATCCACTCTGCAACCCTCATTGCGTACTCCTACGATAAACATAATGCCCTAAAATATAATACTTTTAAACTAAACTGTCATAAGATGCATCCTTAAGGTCACAAAGACCTCATTTTAACCCGTTGCCACAAATGATGGCAAAATGGGTTTCTAAGCACGCTGTCAATTTAAAAGCGTGCGACAAAGTCTTAAGGGAGCTCTGGTGGCCAAGTGATAAGGAATTGTGCTGTCAACCCAAAGGCACGCAGTTCAAATCTACCAGCTGCTCTGGGGCGGGGGTAGGAGGGATGACAAAAAATTAACTCCTGTGCAATCTTCTGAAAATACACTGGAGGATTAGCTATGACTTGGTCCTGTTTGATAATATACAACATAATATCAAAACATTAATTCAAGAACCTCAAGAAAAATGTGAACAATCCAATCACAAAATGGGCACAGGATATGAACAAGCATGTCACCAAAGAGAACATTCCGATGGCAAGTAGACAACTGAAGAAATGTTCAAAATCCCTAACTATTAGAGAGATGCAAATCAAAACGATGAGATACCATCTCACCCTAGTAACAATGGCAATGTTCAACAGGGCAGCAAACAAATAATGCAGGCAAGGTTGTCAAGAGAACTCTTATTCACTTCTAGTGGGAACATAAAATGGTACAACTATTATGGCAAGTGGTCTGGCGCTTTCTCAGAAAGTTGGAAATAGAAATATCGTTTGACCCAGCAATTTCACTACTAGGAATATACACATACCCTAAAGAAACCAGAGCTTCCACTCAGATGTATGCACACTCACGTTTATTGCTGCATTATTCACAGTAGAGATGGAGACAACCCAAGTGCCCATCAACAAATGAATGGATAGAAAAACTATGGTCTATTCACACAATGGCATATACTATGCAGCACCAAAAGAAAAGGAATTCATAAAACATGACACAATATAGGTGACCTTGGAGGACATTATGCTGAGTGTCACATTATGAAATGTCACAAAAGGACAAACACTGTATAACACCACTGTTATAAAACAAGCCTGGCATGGGATTTGGGGAATAACTAAGGAAAGAGGGAATAATCATTGCATTGGCACAAATGAAGGAAAGAACTGTTTAAAAGGAATATATGATTTGGCATTATTTGTATGACAGCAGTCCAGATTAAGAAGTGCATAGCAAAGTGAACTGGGGGTAGGGGTGGGAGGGACGGAGGAATTATGCAACAATGATTTTTTTTTTAATTTTAAAGTGAACTAGGTGTGGGCTAGGAGGAAAATATGCGACCATGAGTGAATGAAAATCCAACTTTTCTATAAACTTTCATTAAAATGACAGTTACAAAGTGGACTCTTACGTTAAGAGTGCACCTATGTGATATGTTTGAGTAATACTTTGCACATCTAGTAGCAGATCATGATCGCCTTTTGTCCCCTTCTCCAACAAAATCCTTTCTGGCTCTCATTAGGTGGTGGTGGTGGTTGGTTGTGTACTGTTGAGCTGGAACTGACCCCCCCAGTGGGTTTTCAGAAGCAGTAATTATTTGCATGGGCCCCTCATTCTCCCACAGAGCATCAGGTGCATTGAACTGCCTGCTTTTGGAATTGCAACGGAGCTTCTTGCCACTAGGCCACCAGAGCTCCCTCTCTTTAGGTGGTAGTTGTTGTGTACCAAAGAGTCGGAATTGACCCATAGCTGACCCTCCAGAGGGGCGGGGTTTAGAGGCAGCTAATCTCACAGGAAGAGATTGCCCATCCTTCTCCTACAGAGCAGCTGGTGGCCTCGAACTGTGTGCCTTCGGGATTGCTGCACAGCTTCTTGCCACTAGGCCACTCTTTAGGTTAGACTTAATTTATTTTTAAAAGGATTGTATTTTTAGTAACTTTCCTATAAACCTAAAATTCTAAGTTGTTATAGAACTCTTATATACTGGTTATATTTTCTCCCAATGCTACTAGTACATTTGTTTAATAGTATGCCTATACATGTATGAACTAAAGAAATCTTGGTAGTGGAATGGTTAAGCATTGGGCTTATGGAAAGCTTAATAGAAAGGTTGGCAGTTCGAACTCACCAGCCTCTCAGCTGGAAGAAGAACTAGGTTCTTTCTCTATAATGACTTCCTTCCCATATCCTTGAGAAATAAGTCACTGCACTCCGTCCACAGTCAAGGTTGGCAGGGATTTCATTCCACCTCCTGAGACAGGGTGCATTTACATAGATTAGGTGGTGTTTTTGAAAGACAGTTTTTCCTTCTCCCAAGGAGAATGTTTTACAATGAGAAGTATATAAAAACAGCTATGAGATATCATCTCACCCCAACAATAATAGCAACGTTCAAAAGGGCACCCAACAATGCAGGCGAGGTTCTGGAGAGATTGGAACTTTTATTCACTGCTTGTGGGAGTATAAAATGGTACAACCATTACGGAAGGTTGTCTGGTGCTTCCTCAAAAAGTTAGAAATACTATTCAGCCCAGCAAATATTCCACTGGGAGTATACCATAAAGAAACCAGAGCCACAATTCAAACAGATATATGCTCACCCATGCTTATTGCTGCGTTATTCAAAATAGCAAAGAGATTGGAGCAGCCCAAGTGCCTATCAACAAATGAATGGATAGAAAAATGATGGGATATTCACACAATGGAATTTTATGCAGCATTGAAAAACAATGAACTTGCAAAACATTACACAACATAGGTGAGTCTAGAGAACATTATGCTTAGTGAAATATCTCAGTCATGAAAGGACAAAGACAGCATAACACTACTGTTAGGGACTGACCTGGGGTGTTGGGGGAAAAATAGGGGAAAAGTGGATAGATAATGAACACTGCACTGGGACAGATGAGAGAAAGAACTGTTTAAAAGGAATATATGGTTAGGTATGACAACAATCTGTAATAAGAGGTGCATTGCAACATGGACTGGGGAGGGGGATGGGAGAGGGAGGAAGAAAAATGAGCAACAATGATGATAAAAAAAAAAGGAAATGATAAGGTTATCGGGAGTTCTGGTGGCCTAGTGGTAAGAGGCTATGCTGAAGTCCCAAAGGTACATGGTTTGAATCCATCAGCTGCTCCACCTAGGAGAAGAACAGGCAATCTCCTCCCACGTGATTTACTGCCTCTGAAAATCCACTGGAAGGGAAAAAAATCCACTGGAAGGTCAGCTATGGGTCAGTTACAACTTGATGGTACTTAACATGAGGTTACTGTCTTCCTTAAAATCTCTCAAGTGCTCATTGCTGCCCCGAGTGGTGCAAATGGCTCATGTACTCTGCTGATAACATACAGTTTGGAAGTTCAGCTCCACCCAGCCCATGGGGAAGAGCTAATGAACTCCTTTGAAAAATCAGCCAATGAAAACCCTATAGAGTACAGGTCTACTCTGAATATGTGGCTGTTTTTGTTAGGTGCCATCGAGTTGAGTATTACTCATAGCGACCCTGTGAACAACAGACTTGAACCCTGTTCTCTCCTGTGTCATCTTCACAATCTCTGACACACTCAAGCCCATTGTTGCTGTCACTGTGACAATCCACCCGGTTGAGGGTCTTCCTCTCTTGATGTCCTTCTCCAAGGATTAGCCTCTCCTAGCAACATGCCCACAGTATGTGAGTCAAGCTTCATCATCCTTACCTCCAAGCAGCACTGTGGCTGCACCTTCTCCAAGGAGTATCTGTTTGTTCAATGGCAGTCCACGGGACATTCTGTACTCTTCTCCTATATCAAAGTTCAAAAGTCTCAGTTCTTCCTCTGTCATCTTTATTCTCTGCCCAGCACTCAATATTATAGCAAGTGGCCATGGCCCAAATAAGGCACACTTCAGGCCACAAACTAACAGTCATTTCACCTGGCAAATGGTTTGTTTGACTTAATGGTTTGTTTTCAGAGTCATGTGATCTGATTAGGTAGCTCTAACCTTTTCCTCCACTCCAAGCCCCACCCCCTAACTCCAGCAAAGATCGGATTTAATGTTCCAAACCAACAACATAAACAGGCACATAACAACAACATGGTAAGTATTCAGAAGCAGGAATCACAAACCCGGATGAAAAGCATTCACGGTGCAGTGATTTAAGATGCCCTGCTATTATTTTAAAGTTTTCATTTTTTAAAAGCCAGTGTTTCCGTGGACCGCACTCAGACAACAACTAAATAGAAAAGACTCGGGTTCTAACAGTCCCAGGATATGGGAAACAAAGACGCATAGGTAGAGGAGAACCCCAGCCTTCTTGGTACCCTCAGGACGTAGCAGACACCCAGCCCCTCCTTTGGGAAGTCTCGTCCTCAGTCTCTGCCCCTTCCTGTCCCGCTTCCCCTTCTCGGGCTCCTCCTCCGAGGCCTGCGGGGCGGGTCACTGCAGAGGGGGACCTGGGGAGTCTTGCCTCTGCGCCCACATCCACGCACCACAGCGCGCGGGCCACACTCGCATGTCCTCCGTGGAAGGGCGCACCGTGACTGTACAGTCCGGGGACCCCAGCATCGGGGACAGATGGCTCAGGGGCGTGTCCTCGCCTGCGCTTAGAGGGTTTCCGGGTGGACAAAGTAACCCATATCCGGAGTGTCCGCGCTTGGTCTCCAGCTCTCCCTCAGTGTCACCCCCACTTTGCAGAGCAGGAAGCTAAGGGCGCCTCCCACAGTGCACGGGGGTCTTGGCCAAAGCCTCCCAGGTTCCTCTCGAGGCATTTGCACCACCTCAGGCTCCTCCAGGAAACCTTATTCCGCTAGGCTGCCTCCGCCCTGCAGGGGCCCCTTTCCTGGTGGAATCCACTTGAATCCGGCTAGTGGACTTTAGAGGCCTGGTTATCGCTGGTGTCTGGCTCTAGACTGTCACCCCTGCAGCTCACAGGGGCTGCCCCAGGGGGTGCGTGAGCCACCTTTGTTCCCCACAAGGGGCGCAGAGCCCGGAGCTCCGAATCCCCAGCTGTCCCCTCAGGCCAGCCCTGGCCTGGTCCCTGCAACAAGGAGCCCTCCAGTTCCCTCCTTAGACCGGTGCTGAACAAGGTGAGCACTCAGGAAGGCCCAGCCAAGGGGGTGGGGGTGGGGGACCCACCTCAGAGAAGAACTGGAGCAGAATTTCACTGCAGGGAGGCACTGAGCTTGAGTCCCCTGATTTGCACCTCTCTTTTGGTATATGCATCAGGAAAGAAAAACATTGAGGTGGGTGAAAAATTGTAGGGCGTTCTGGTGGCATCGTCCGAAGCCACTTGGCGCTGCTAACCCAAATGCAGCTGCTCTTTGATGGTTCGAATCTACCAGTGGTTCCACAGGAGAATGATGAACAATCTTCAGTGCAATTTACAGCCTTCCGACGACCCTCTTGGAGAGTCAAGTGCAATGAAGTGAGACTAATACCAGAACTCCTATTTTATGGAATTTTGACAATGATTTTTTTTCTGTTTGTTCTAACGTACTTGGCTTGTTCTAATGCTTTACCTGTGCTAACTCGGATTTACACCTCCATAACTACCTATGAGAGAGCTGCCCAGGTACCATAACAAGTTAAGCGCTAGACTGTCCTATTATAACCAGCTGAACTACCAGCTGCCCTGTGGGAGAAAGAGGTGGCTGTCGCCTCAGTGAAGGTCTACGGCCCTGGTGGGCAGGTCTTCCGTGGCCTTCATGGTCACTTTGAGTAGGGAATCACTTCATATGGGTTGGGATTGACTCTAGTAGAGTAATGGATATTGCTTTTAACTTTTTTTTCCACCCTATTTGATAATTACACATGCCTCTTAGAGGTGAGGGAACAGGTTTATGGAGGTGAAGGAGCTCACCTCTTCTCTGGCCCAAGCCTCCTTCCCTCCCTATACTCACAGTGAAGGGCGGCCCTGGAGGTCTTTCTGGAACCCCTGAACTTGCAGACATCCCTTCCCCCTTCTCTGCTTTCTCACCATCTGCTTCAAACCACTTGTTAGAATCTGAACCCAACCATAGCTGACCCTCCCGTGGGTCTTGAGAGGCAGTAAATTGCAGGAGAGGAGATTGCCCATCCTTCTCCACGGAGCATCTCCTGGAGTATCTGGCAGATTCAAACCACATTCCTTTGGAGTTACAGCACGGCTTTTTACCACTAGGCCCCCAGGGCTCCAGACCACTAGGTAATCTTATTTTGCCCTTTGCTCCACTGGACCACAGTTCTAAGAGAGTGCCAGCAACCCCAGACCAAGACTTCCTGTAGTGGGACCAGTTTGGACTTGGCCTACTGCAGTTGAGGCAGGGAGGATGGAAAATGAAGGTGGGGGACCTCTTCTATTGCAGAATGAAAAGCTTCCTGAATAGTGGAAGCTGCTGAAGTAGCAATAAGTTAGAAGTCACAGAAAAGTGGCAGACACAGGCCCCTGGCACGTCCTTGGTCCTAAGCTTGTTTCACTTGTTGAAGTTATTGTCTGCACACATGGCTACAGATAGAAATGGACACAGTACAGAAATGTGGTTGTTTTGGGTTTGGTTTTTTTTTTTTTAATTGTCTTCAAAGAGAAAAGCAAACTGGGGGAGGGGTGGGCAGGGAGAAAAATGTGCAACAATGAATGAATGGGGAAAAATTAAATGGGAAGAACATTTTGTAAAAAATATATGTCGCATCAAAAATCATTTAAAAATAATTTTAAAAATTTTTAAAAAGGTGCAGCTAGAGGAGAGGGAAGATACCTGGTGGTGCAGTGATTAAAGTATTCAGCTACTATGCAGAAAGGCTGTTTTGAACCCATCAGCAGCTCTGAGGGAGAATGCTGCAATCCGTTTCCGTAAGGATGACAGCCTGGGAGACCCCTTAGGGTAATTCTGCTTTGCCCCATGGGTTGTTGTGAATCGGGATTGACTCGGTGATGGTTTTGGCTGAAGAAGGGGAAGCGTTGGTTCTGTGGAGAGGCCTTGAGCAGGGCTGTCCATCGAGCACCTTTGTCTTTTTTTCAGATGTTCCCCCTCTCTCAGAAGGAAGCCAGGGCACCTTCCACTTGCCCAGGACCAGCCTCCACACAGGACCTGAACAATGGCTGCAGCAAGGGTCCAGAGAGAGAATGTTCCAGTAAACCAGAGCAGAAGACCTATGACGTGGGTGATCCCACCGCTGCGTTCTCCTCGGGCAGCTCCTACCTGTCCTCTCGGGGCAGCGTCATTAAGTGGTTCTGGGACTCAGCCGAGGAGGGCTACCGGACCTACCACATGGACGAGTATGATGAAGATAAGAACCCCAGTGTGAGTGGCAGACCCCTCACCCCGGGTCCTAGGAGAGCAGTGACCATGGAGGACTGTATGGTGGCCAATAGGACAGCACGCTGCTGCTTTTTTTCAGGTTGACATTACGACCCTCCTGGTCCTCTGACCTCCCTGCCTTGGCTGGTAGAACAGTAATCAGCACTTGTCAGGTGGACATTGACCAAAAGAATCTCCTATGTAGCTCAGAGAGCCCATTGGCTGGATCTGAAAATGGCCCATTTTTAATAAAGGGAACCTTGAATGTTTCAAAGTAGCAGTTTTCTCTATAGGATTTTCATGGCCGTGACCTCTCAGAAAGAGGTCCCAGGCTTCTCTTCTGAGGTATCACTGAGAAGATGTGAGCTATCAATCTTAGTCCAGCTCCTAGCCATTTGTGCCACCCAACAACCCCACAGAATATTCAAGGTTAAATGGGATCAACTACACAAGGTTATTACATGTGCATATGACACAGTCGATAAATGGTAGCCATTGTTATCACTTGAAGGAGCTCTGGTGGCATAGTGTGTAATTGTTTGGGCTGTTAACCTAAAAGTCCATAGTTCAAATCCAGCAGACCATCCTTGGGAGAAAGGTGGGCAGTTTTCTCCTGGAAAGAGTTACAGCCGTGGAAACTGGATGGTGGGTTGCCATGAGCCAGAATTGCCCCCCCAATAGTGGGTTTATGGTATTTTTATTATTATTTGTAATGTCTGCCTCAAAGTTATTACTAGTAATAGTAACAATACATGGAGAATTCAGACAGATGCGACAAATAATCCTTTAACACCGTTGTTGTATAGCTACTAAAAGCTGGTCATGGTCGCAGGTGCTGAAGTTTACATGGGTGGATGAAGACAAAGTTCTTGTCCTCATGGAGTTTATATTCTACAAGGGAAGACAGAGTACAGATAAAAATTAAGAAGCATGTGGTAATAAGGAAACTCATTGAACTGGGAAAATCTGCAGTTAGGGACCATTACAAATTATTGAGGAATAGTGATGTCAGTTTGAGGACTAAGGTGCATCTGATTTAGGCCATGGTCTTTCTCTGATCGCTTGCTATGCATCTGAGAGCTGGACAGTGTATAAGGATGATGGAAGAAGAATCAGTGTCTTTGAGCTGTGGTGTTGGAGAAGAGTACTGAACATCCCATGAACGGCCAAGAGAACGCACAGATGTGTCTTGGAGAGGGTGCAGCTGGAGTGCTCTTTGGAGGCAAGAATGATGAGGCTTCACCTCAGATAATTTGGACGTGTCCTGGGAGGTGCTATTTCTTGAAGAAGGACAGGATGCTGGAAAGGGTGAAGGGCTGGCGAAGGAGAGGAAGACCCTCAACCAGGTGGATTGACATAGTGACTCTGCAATGGGCTCTTGTGTGTCAGGAAGTGTGAGGATGGTGCAGGATAGAACAGAGTTCAGATCTTTTATTCATAGGGTCGCTATAAGTCGCACTTGACTCAATGGCACCTAACAACAACAATGTGGTAACAACTGCTATAGAGGAAAATAAAGCAGGACGAAGATGATAATGTTGCCATGGGCTGGAGATGCTGCTATTTTATGTACATTGGTCACAAAAGTCACGTTAATAAGGTGACATTTGAGCAGAGAGCTAAAAAATAGTGAGCAAGTGTATTGTGAAATCATTGCTCTGTAACAAATGATCTCAAATTTTGGCAGCTTAACACAGCAAACATGTCACAGTTTCTGGGGCTTAGGAATGCAGGTGGGTACTTCAGGCTTAAGATCTTTCATGGAATTGCAGTGAAGCTGGGCTGTGGTCTCCTCTGAAGGCTTCCCTTCGTGGTGGTGATGGTGGTGGTGGTGGAGATCTACTTCCAAGCTCCCTCATGTAGCTATTGGCAGGCCTTGGTCCCACACCACGTGGACCTGCCACATGGACTACAAGACTGACTCAGGATATGGCAACTGGATTATCCCAGGGCAGTCAGTCCACGAAATCATGAGACAGTGTGGGCAGCCTACTTGGAAACCACATCTTTTTAGTAATCTCCTTACTGAAGGGACATTCCATTGCTTCCACCATGTTATTCATCTAAAATGAGACAATTACCAACCACAGTCTGGGAGAGGAAGATATCAGGGCATCAGGACCATGCGATGGCATCGTTGGGAGGCATCTTGGAAGCTTTCCCAGGGAGTGAGCTCTGTAGTTCTCTCAGAAAGGGAATTCTTGGCAGAAGGAGTTCAAGCACAGTGAAGGGCCAGTTGAAGTGAAGACACCAACTGGAGACTGGTAGGAGATGAGGTCAGAAGATAGAGGGAGGGGGCGGTAAGAGGTCCTGTGGGTCTTAGAGGAATTGGTAAGTTTCTAATTTTAGACAAACGTGGAATATGTTTTAAAGGAGGAACAACGAGATCTGCTTTTAAGTTTTAAAAAGATGACCTAGGCTGCTGGACTGGGCAAGAGAGGATGCAGGAAAGCTACTGCAATAATGTAGTGGTGACACTATGGTGGTTTGGATCACATTCTTGGTGGAAATGAGAAGTGGTTGAATTTAAGCATAGTTTGAAGGTAGAGAGACATTAGGGTTGACAGATGGATTAGTTGTGGGCAGAGACGCCCACCAGTTTCTTTCTCAGCATGAAGGAACAGTACCTTGTATTTATCATAATCTGAGCTCATTTAAACCAAATCTTCCCCATCCTCCTTCCTTCACGCCCCGTGGTAGTCCAGGAATCCAGAGTTAGCTGTGCCCTTAGGCCGGCAGTGAGTCTCTGGGGCCTCCCTAAGGAACAGTTTGGGTGTTCAGTTTCCGTCTTCCCTCATCTATGAAGATACATGTCTAACGGTGTAGAGATCAAGGCGTTGTGTGATATTACCTGGGGCTTCTGGGAGAGCATTCCATCAATACAGGGACCTCATCTTGACCTACATTCACCCTTATTTCTGTTCCTGCCAGAGCATCCGTCCACCTTGTACAGTCTGTCCATCCCCCTGAGACCTGTGTTGGTCCTATTAAAGCACTTGACAGATGCAGTGGCATCTCAGACATGTCTCTGACCCTCATAGGACGTACCAACTGGTGATTATTGACATTAGGTGTCATCAAGTCGCCTGTAGGAGAGATGAAGTATGTATGGCTCTCAGTCTCTGTGACCCAGGGCAGCAAACGCTGAAGCTTTAAGGAAGGTCGTGAGGGCAGATCATGTGCTTCTGGGTCCCTAAGAAGATGAGGTTTCTTCAGGGTGGGGTTCTAAGGAAGGCTTTCTGGAGGAGAGGATGTTAGAACTGAGCTTTAGAAATGAAAACATGGGATCAGGTTGCTGATCTCAGACAGGAGCCTAGACAGGAATTGTGCATAGAAGGGTGGCATTGCAGACAGCTGCTGTTCGCTTGGGTTCCTGGTGCCATTGGGGGGCCTCCCTCCACCATGCTCACCTGCTTCTGTTCTTCTTCTCTCCAGGGCATCATTAACATGGGCACCAGTGAGAACAAACTCGTCTTTGACCTGATATCCAGGAAGGTGAGTTCTGGTGGTGACATTACTAACTCCAAGAGCTGTCAGAATTCCCTTGGGCTTCCCTGGAATGCTTCCCCCACAAGAGTCTGCTGCTTGCCTCGGTGGCCTTGACCTCCTTAAGAGACCCAGGTTCTTGAACTGCTTTGGGAGTCATTGTTCCATGTGCCTTGGACAAGTCATTTCCCCATACTGATGCTCGGTTTTCATCTCTTGGGGCTCTATCCTCTCCTCAGTCCCTCAGATTGTTTTGGGTCCGTGCTCTCAGGAAGGACATGCAAAGGTGGGCTGCTCAGTGCTTAACAACTGACTATTTGGGAGGAACCCAAAAACCTCAATTTGAAGCTTTTGCCAATTTCCATAGTGTAAATATGTCCTCCCACTGTGAATGATTTCAAACCACTGATGTGATGTCATTGCATGTCCAGTAGAATTTTTATAGAATTTCCACCTTACAAATACTCTCAACTCTTTGCCATCAAGTTGGAACAGACCCACAGTTGACACTCTATTGGGTTTTGGAGGCTGTAGACTGCATGGAGTGACTGCTGCATAGAGCTTGAGTATGTCAGAAATAATGAG